GTCTCAGAATAATGGTCAGGGACAAGATTTACCTAAACAAAAATGAAAAGAGTTCTTTAACCCTTTTTTTTATAAGCCATTAAGCTTTTGTGATTTTATAAAATAGTTTCATTCTTACATCTGAATCTTGCTAAAATGGGCAAGAAGGTGTAACTTATGAACTTGGGAGGTTTGCAATCTAATTGATTAATCTAAGGAAGATTGAATCATTGGGCTGTCTCTTTAACGGATGGAGGTAGACGGTTGTGGAGACGAAGCTGTTTACATGGAAAGATGGGATATAGAAGCACGAGTGCTCCAACCATGTGATCTCTCTGATTTGGTAGCCATTTCAAAATATTATATTATGTGTTTGTTCTGTGGCAAATAATTTCATATTTCATGTTTAATAAATAGAAATAAAAATAACTAAAGGAATTATTTATAACTTTAACCAAATATCTGAAAGAGAGTCATGTGTATAAGTTTGAGAGAGATTGATTTTAATGCACCTAGCACAAGGCCTAGGTATTTCTTAAAAATTCAGGTTTCTTTTATCACTTGATACAAATTAATAAAATTATTATGGTCATTTTGCTGTTACTGACTCACAGCGACCAAAACAGAAACTGGGAAAGACAAAGAGACTGGAGGTAAAGTTATCATGGCAAAGCAATTATAGTAAGAATCATGAAGTCAGGACCTTGGTAATTCACTTAGATAATAAATAATAAAGACCAAAAATGTCCTTTTGGTATGATAGACTATCATTTCCTAATTTCTCTCACAAGGAACATTGGTGTTGTAGAGAAACCAAACAATCCTTACTAATTTTTCTGCGTCTTTTCACCAGTAGCCTCAGGTACTTGCTAATATAACAATAACTCAGAAGAAGAGGACATGGTGCAAACTATTAGCAGATGAGCTTTTCATTTGCAATATAAAATGATGACTTGATTTGCAAGGAGCATTTGATATTTCCACAGATCATATCTACTAATGGGAGTTAATGTGAGGTAAAAACAAAAGATTTGATAGATACTTTGTCTTTTGTTCATAAGCACTCTACATTTTGAGAGGCAAGAATAATTTATATTTTGAGATGTATTTTTCAAGGTTAAAAGAACATGTGTTTGATAGTATATGACCATTCAAAAAATCATTTTCCAGTACAAAAAACCATATGCTAAGGTATAAAAAACTTTTAAGCTCATCAAATCACTAGACCTTTCAGACAATTTGCACAGTCAGAATATGAGATTTGAAAGGAACACCTAAGGAAGAAAAGGCTGCATCATAAAAACTAAATGAATTATTATAAACAGGGTTTCCACAAGACAAAAGTTCACATAATTGCACTTCCAATAGAAGAAATTTTAGAGTAAATACTGATGTTATAAATACTTAAAATTCATACTAAGGCCAAATTCACAGAGCAGTTCTAGAGGAACGCGGATATGGACCATATCCCTTATCCTGACCTCAGCCCTAGAGGAATAGCAGGTAGAAACAGAATGCCTTAAAAAAAAGAAAAAAAAAGAGAAAAAAATAGAAGTATCCAAGGAGCCAGAGCCACATACCAGTAAATCTAACTTCTGTGTCAAGCATTTTGGTAGAAAATATAAAGAATTTTTATGTATATTTTTCACATAACCATATAGTAGTCTCACCTTATAATCATATCTTATTAAAATGGCTTTTACAGAGAGGAATCGTGTCTCCATCTGTGTACAACTTTGCTGAAGAGTCAGAGCAAATATGAGTAAGGACAGTCAAGGTTGCACAGTGTATTCTAATTTCAAAAATCTCTAGAGAAGGTCATTCATCAAAGCTGCAAAGAAATTAAATTCTCAAAGGGGATGAAGGGCAATTCTATTCTGAATAAACAATGCCTACAAAATTCAACCTTTTATAAACTTACGTGATCAGTTGTTTGAAGGGAGGGACATTATCACTGAAGAAACAGAAAACATGTAGGATATCATCAGTCAACATATAAACGATCCAGAGAGAAAGTGAACATTGTACTAGTGGAGCTTGTTGATACTTTTTTTTTTTCATGACAGTTTCACCATGAAGAGCTGCAAAAGGATGTCACAATATTAGAGTGGATTGTAATTAATAATGATATTAAGTACCAAGTTTTTTAGCTAAACCTAAAAATATTATTTGGTGCTAGCAATCAGTAAAGAGACCATGACACCATTACTGCTCATTGACCAGCAGTCAAAAAGTTGAGTGGATTGTGAGATAAGTAGTAGAGAAAAAAGACACAAACAAACAAACTAAATCTGTGATAGAAAGATCATAACTTCAATATTGCCATGTTGTTTTCATCTTCTCATCTCAAAATGGCATAGTAGAATGTGAAACGATACAACAGAGGAAAAAAAAGTGATCTTGAGTTTATTAAATTTCTGAGTGAAGAAGAATTAACAGTCTATGATTTTTTCGGTCTGTGAAAGACACAACCAAAAGGGGATATGGCAGGTGTTTTACAAAATGATGGTTGATTCAACTGGGATGAATCAGAAACTTATATTCATTATCATAAAAAAAAAAGAAAGAAAGAAACTAATAAAGGAATTCAGGTAGAAGTTATAAAATAAAAGAAACACTTTTTTTTTCCAAGGTGCTTAAATTATGTAATTTGACACAATATGAACCAGTGTGGACATTTTTACTGTTGATTAGACTAGGAATGTCTCTAATCATATAGGATAGAAAAAAATGTAATTAGGTAGAGTTCAGTTGACACCCAGGCCATTTTTGCATCATCAGAACATAACAGAAAATCTCCTTCTTTTACTAAAAAAATACTTTTCAATCTTTGATGATAGAACTGGTCTAGACTTTTGTTTTGCTTTTCACACAAGGGACAGTATTTCTCCAGAGTCTCATAAAACAGTCAAAACATTGGTGTAGTCACGATTTTGAGGAAAAATGGGTCACTCTTGCTAATATCTATAATATTTGCCCAAGTTTTTCTTTTAAAAAGCAATCTAGTGCTACTCCTAAAGCAACATTATTTACAGAATTACAATGTCTGGATTGGAAGCATTTTATGCTCCTTTTGTTGTTATTTGATTGATCCATCAGGCACATTTAGATTTTCTAACTTGTGCTCCTAAAGTGCTTAAAGGAAGTGCTTAAGTGAATGCTTAAGTGAATATACCTCATTCAAACATGAATTTGCATTCTCATCTGGAAGGATTATTTTTTTTTTCTGAAAGAAGGGAAAGCATATCAAGAAAGGGCAAGTAGGATGACGGGGGTACCTGCAATAGGGGCATTTCTCCGGAGGTCACAGGTTTGTCCTGATGCTGTCTGAATCTTTTTGTTTCTTTTTTTTTCCATTTAACTTTATCAAAAAATATATCTTTTACTGTGAAAAGAAAAAGCAAATCTGGTAGTAAATGATAAAACATAGGAAACCTATGTTTCTTCCAAAGTGGATGACTGCTTTAACTAGATAGTTATTTACCAGTCAAATATAATTCTTGCTCATTTTCCCTGATAATTCTCTTCTGATTTGAGGAATCATCCCAAAGAAAGTTTTACAGCAGCAGTTTTTTCAAGGGAAGGAACTGAAGTGTTTTTTTTTTTTTTTTTTTTTAAACTATCATTTCCAGCAAAAGTGCTTCCTCAGCCCCCGGCTTTATAACACCCCAATCCAATTTTGCACTGGCAGAGGTGACAGCAGATCTGAGCCTTGGCCAAAGAGAACTTCCTTCCAGACATCAGGCACAGGAGCTGGCAGGATGGCCCAGAAACACCTGGGCTGCTGTGACAGAGAGTGAGAACTCCCAAGTCTGTGAAGGAACAGGAGAACATGGTTTACAATTTGAACAAAATATATATATATATATTTTTTTTTTCCTGAAGATCCCTATCAACTAGTCTTCTCTGACTTTCACATATTATATTTCTTTGCTTTCGTAATCCTTATTTTGGTTCTTTCCTTTTTTTTTTTTTTTTTCCCTTACCTGAGATGTTGGGGTTTTTTTTTCTTTTTTACTATTGTTCTTATCTTTTTGCACTGAAATTCTTTGGAGCCTTTTGTTTAATATTGAGGATTTAGACTGGATTGATCTTGCTGCTACTATGTGTTTGTTATGTCCATAAATAACATTTTATTCAATTCTTCTCATCCAAAAATCTTAATAATTCTTACTTAGTTTAATATAGCTTTTAATACCCAAGAATCGCCTACCCCAAAAGTCCATCTTCTGTGTGACTGAACAAAGTTTTTTGGAGTCATGTTTGCCTCCTGTCATTCTGACTATGACATTTCCTTTATTAAGTCACATCAGATACAAACTTCTCACTAATTATTCACTAATTATTTCTCATTTCCTAAACTCTTGAAGTTCTCCAAGGCTGTCAGTCACCCCACAGCAAATGCCACATTACTCTGCTCATGTCTATTCTTGTTTTTGACATCATTGAATGGTTTTATATTGCATTTAATAGTACTGAGCATTTTGTCGTGATTAATTAATGATATTCCAAATTAAAAAGGCCACTGGAACTAAAATAACTGAACTCTACATGCGCATGTCTCTATGTCCATGTCTGTGCCTGGGTATGCAAATACCTTTGCAAAATTTGAGTCTTTCTTGCTGATTCTGGAAGATCCTCAACAGCACACAACAGGATATGGTGATTTATTTGTCACAACTGTCACTGCACCGTTAAACAAAGTTCAGGTGTATGAAAAATCTCATCCTTCAAAAATTGATTGCCTACTTTAATCTTTCAAACCATAAATATTAACCTGTGGTTGCAAAAATAAATCCTTCTCTTAAGTAATTTTGCTGTTGTGCTGCTGGTAACCCTAAAGAGTGTTTTAGAATATGTATAGGACTTAAGCAGAGCATGCTGCATTAAATGAAGCTATTTTTATCAATTCCAGCTTTGCTGCTGTGTAAGTTCAGAAAGCAAGCTGCGAGGTTTCTCTGCAATAATAGCAGCATATGGAAAACTGGTGATATTTCATATAACAGTTCTTTATTTTCCAGGTGTGATGGGGGA